ATATTGTCAACATCCATTTATTAAGACGAGTTGGAAAACCTTGGCAGTGTGGTCTATCCATAAATTATGTGTTATATTACCGGAAGCTAATATAATATTTTTCAATTTATCGTTCTATAAACTCCCTACACACTTAATACTGTAGTCATATGTGTTTGCATTTTTGCCTTGAAAGTACGGTAATTAAATTGAATTTATATAGAACACTTCTAAAATGACGCCCACCTCATTTATGTCACCAATCACCAACTGACGCGTTTGCAAAGACTGAGTTCAGTAGAGATTTAAATCTGCATTGCCTCTTTAATATATCAATCTATATTTTACAATTAGTTAATGCCACATAGACATCAGATGCTACCGCCTTAGTATCAACAGATATTATTATTATTATTATTATTATTATTATTATTATTATTATTATTATTATTATTATTATTATTAGATGATATTGAAATGTTTCGCTGTCAGCATAAAATGTCACCGTAGGGGGGAAAAATCGTTCATTAAACCGCCAACATTATTTTGCAAAAATAAACAGGTTCATAGGCCATCAAAATAAACCATCCTAAAAATCAAACCGTGAAGGAATGTGTAATTAATCGTGATACCTAATACCGATTTAAAAAATACCAGTAGGCCTAATTTTAATTATAAAGCTAGAAATGTATAGATGAGGGCATATCATGTCCCTCTGTAAATATAGTGCGTTGAAAACTAGTGCTTTTATGCGCACATACAAAGATAGTGGAATTCAGTTGCCTTCAATCGACTTCGAATTTTAACAAAGCCGACTGGACCAGTTGGGTTAGCACCTACGCATAATATAATATGCAAACAACAGGCCTACTAACAAAAGAAATTGTTTATGCCAACTTTTACTTCTTGTGATAAGATCGAGTGTTGCCGATGCGACATGAGAGAATCTAAACTGTTTGTACTGAAAAAAATGTGCCGATATTTCAGATTCAAACTGCACTGTTTCACTTTGATTTTCACAGTAACTGGATGAGTCGATATATACGCCAGATACATACATATCTAGCCTCAGTAGGATGTAAATCATACAAATTATTTATCAGTGAATGTCGATCGTTCACTTAAAAACATTCTGGTGACATAGGCAGTCGCATGTTGGCGTACGTTTTAAGATTTTAACAGTCAAGAAACAAATTTGATTTCATGTTATTGACGGGGAACTTTCAGAATGGACTAAGGCACTTTCTGGAGTCCCTCATAGCTCAGTAGCTGGACCGTTAATGCTTAACATTTACATGAATGATCTCCATCCATCTCCACCTAAAAACCGACCCTCACCAATATGCCGAAGATACTTTCAGTTTTCGACCTATCAGTTGACGACTCTACTTGCCTACAACATGATTTAAACTCAATAACGAAGTTGGTCACAAATGCAAACATGTTGACTTTGAATCCTGATAAATGTCAAGTGTCATCGCTTGCAAGAAAAAGGAATCCTACCCGTCTACAAAATAGTGGATAAGGAACTGGAATGTGTTCCACACCTGAAACTTCTAGGTGTTCACATCTCTTTAGATCTTATATGTGGTTTTCATGTTGCTAAAACTACAGCCAGATATAACAAGACCATTATTATATAACAAGCTTTATTAGATCCACTTCTGGCCATATTTGCCCAACTATAATTATATTACAGCTATACTACGCCCTTCTTTAATTGTATTGTTGCACTGTATATCTTGAAGTAAAGCATAAATTCACACGGAACATATCCAAAGGGCAACACGAATGATTCTGCATTGACGTCGACTTGAACAGCTATATGAACAGACACTTCAGGTTAAAACTGATGGACTTAAACTCGCTCAGAGATTTAGCATCCTGTTCGTATGTAAAAAATTAAACATGAACAATGAATACATGCATGAATTGATTAATATCAATCACCGCCATTAGGAAATATTAACATTGAAAAGACTCAACGCTCGGACTGATAGCGCATTTTGCTTACCTGTCCGATTTTGTAGACGCTGGGATGCATTCATTACCCACTGATTTAAGAAATGCTTTTATCCTAATAAAATGGAGTACTTTTAAAAGTAAAATGAGATAACACTATTTACCAGTTGATTAAAATGTGAAACCAATGGACCTTTCCTTTAAGCCCCGCCCCTTGGAAATTGTTGCTAAGGTCCCACAAGACGACATGTGTTAAAACATACGCAAACACGTGCGTTTGTGGGACAACACGTGTGTTTGTGAGATGCGCGCGTATTCCTAGCACTGTTCTGATTAGTCAGTTGTTAAGTTTGATTGACACTCCAGAAAGGTCTATTGAATTGGTAAAGTAGATTGAGTACAAAATGAAAAAAGAAATACTTTTATTTATCTTCTTGCTTCGTAAATTTACAACTTGTTATTAATGTATAAACTATAGATATTTATTTATAACTGCATTGGGTATATTTAATTTAATATTTTAGTTATTAGCATAGGCCACCTAAATTATAAAATGTAAAATTAAATATTTCATTTAGCTTTATATTTGTTCTATTGTATAAATATTTATTTCCTAATATAATTATGTATTACTAATTTAATATTTAAGTTATTATTAGTGTCAACGTGTATAAATTATAGGCCTAATATACGGTAATAATGCAAATGCTTTAATAATAACTCCCATTTATATTATTGGTATTATCTTAGTAGTGGTACACACCTACTTTGTAACAGTGGTTTTGGCTGCTTTCCTGGCAGCTAAGGACTATGTTATTTTTAATGTATTTGTTCGTTTGAATTATTGTTTTGTATTATGTACCCGGTATATCGTATCTTTTGCCTGAATAAATAATGAAAATAATAATATAAAGGGCTGACTGGTAGATAAGTTGTCATATAAACAGAAGACGTTTTACCTCAACATTCAAATTTGTAAAACTTCCTATAAATCGTAACCAACAGAGTGATCTTTCACCGAATTGAGTGTGATGAACATTTGCCACATGGCACGAAAGGTTACTTCGAGAAAAACGGAAGCCTACTGTACGATTCCCTTTAAGGAAATTAGAACAGGGAAATCCTAATCTAGACGGGTTTTACCGAGCAGTCATTTACATTTAACGGCATAAGGTCATTGTAGAAAAAGAGGCATATCGAAGGATCAGATGAAATAACTCCAATAAAGTTTCAAACGTAAATGTAAAATGTTTCTCGATAGCTGTATTTGTAGTTTATCGGATATGATTAAATGGACTGAAGTACATTAGAACGGGTAAGTGACAGGAATCGATAGACCCTTTTCAAGAGGTGCTTCGAAGACGAACATGATCTAGTATGGTATCTAGTTATATCTCAGCCGCAGGATATTAGTAGAGATTATTCTTAATTGGTTCGTAATCAGAGGATTTCAAATGACTGTCCGTTTTGTAATGTAAAAGCAGTGAAAATGATGTGTTTCGTGGGAATACCAATGCTAAAGTAAGTTCCGATATGCCGGCGTTATAGTCTGCTTGTCTAAAGAAATACAAGCATATCCTCGGTTTGTCAGAATTTTAAAATAATGCTTTCAAACTTAGGCCTACGCTTATGCAGATTACAACACTTGTATGTCATATCAATTAGATTGAAACATTTCAAAATGGGGTTTTATTTTGTAATTACTTCTTGTTTTTTTTTTAAAACTAATATGTGAATTCCCTGTTTCTCATCAGATAAATGCAGAATAAAACGAGTATTTCTTGCATGGTATCATTGAAAATTTCACGAATTGGTTATCTAGGTCAGATAGGCATCTTTTATTTGCTTTGGCAAGATCTAGGGTAAATTTGATCCCTTAAAATATCGCCAATGACAGACAAGATGTACCTTTTCGATATCGGTTTTATGAAATGTTTTGAAATATTTCATATAAATGGGCCTACAAAAAAGGGGTTAGGTTGGGAGTTCTATGTTCAAACTATAATCTTGAAACTCAGGTAGTGGTCTATTCCACCCTATAACGTGTTAATAATTACAATCAGGGGTATTGGGTGGGGGGTACAAAAAAGGGGTTAGGTTGGGAGTTCTATGTTCAAACTATAATCTTGAAACTCAGGTAGTGGTCTATTCCACCCTATAACGTGTTAATAATTACAATCAGGTGTATTGGGTGGGGGGGGGGCGCTAGGCCGTAACCATCTAATTTTTGTCATTGGTAATTCAAAAGGGTCAGCCAAAAACCCTTTTTTCAAGTTTAACACATAACCGAAGTTTATGATAGGACTTTAATCAGTTTAGATTTAATATCTTATTGAACTGAAATCAATAATAGGACTACTCGCTGGGACGGATCCGGAATTTTTTGCCGGGGGTGGGGGCACAATAGGTATGGTAGTTTAAGAATACCTCTAGATGCCCGGAAATGACACTCTCAGATGGTAATTTTTGGGTTGTCAAACCAGCGCTCGTCAACAAAATTATCGGTATTCCCCCTCCCCTAGACACCCCTCCCTATAGTATATTCTATGCTGCGAACTTAGAACCAACCGTCCGAGAGGATTTGTGAAAGGTGTACCTCCGGATCAAATGGTTCACATGTAATATAATATTCAAGGTTTATGATGACTAATATAGGGATAATTACAAATTAATTAACATTTTCAAGCATGGATAGCTGTTCTAGCTGGGCCTACTCACCTATCGTGATAATGGCTGAAAATACCGTCTTAGGTCTCCGTCTTTTGATATCCTGACATGTGAAGTCATTGGACTAAATCGGTATGGGAATATAGCGTTGTGTTCCTCGTCTGAATCAACAGAAAATCAAAAAAATAGTGGTAAAATAATTGAGCGCTCATTTTGCCAACTGTACTCATGGATGCACTTCCCTCCTTTCCGGTTGGACTGACGTCGGGGGTGGGGGGGGGGAGAGCTCTTGTGCACCCACCCCCATTGGATGCGCCCCTAGATTATCGATCATATAGTAATCTGGCAAACTAACCATGGATGATGCAACATAACACAAATTCAGACAATTATTAATTGCAACACAAATACGCCGTTTATTACACATTCTATTACAGACTAAACAAATAACACGTCTTAAATACACAACTACGTATTTCAACGTTACTTCATATTCATCTCACCACCATGACCATCATGGTGTACACTTTGAAAGATAAAAAGCTTGTTAAGATAAATTCGACCGCTCGGAATATCCGCAATATACATGTATTTTACGTATCTTGCCGTTCAGGAACATAGGGTTACTTATTCTTGTACATCTCGGTCAGTATATAATAATAATACTCAACTAAACACATAATAGCACACTTGTTGCTAGTACACATGTAACTAGCACACTTGTTACTTTAACAGAATGAAACACGTCGTATGACCATAGTGGCAGACGTTCAGGAGATGTCTTCCCCCAAACGTTTACTAACTCGACAGACAATAAATTAAATTTTGAGGGGCGAAACAACGACAGGGACACACATCGTGCAAACCACATACTTCCACATTTCAGTAATTTACCCTCTTACGGTAAACTACATACACTAAAAAAGAGGTATCTTCAAACCTTGAAATATTAGGCAAGACATCTAATCTAAATGCTGCCAGAACTCAAGGGACCACCTCTTTCCACATTATATGTCTGTAATTCAAATAATCTGTAATTTTCCAGAAAGAGATTTTAAAGTAGAGACTAAAATTGTGGAACAATATAAGTTGTTTTCTTCTGAAATATATATTTGAAAACATCATCAATATTAAGTCAAATAAATAATAATTTCCTTTAAAAATAACTTTATCATAACAAACCATAAATACAAGAGTATGGTTGAGGTAATTGTTAGGAAATTCAATTGAGCGTATGTCCGAATGTTTGTAAATAAATTGGAATGTTATAAAGCCATAAAAACATCAACAAAATTCACCAGGTTAGTGTCCGTAAATACTACCATCAAATCTGCATAACCAGATAATCTAGTGAATACTACTGGTCAGGTCTGATTAACCTAGTTAGATAATCTGGTTAAACCTAGGGTATCATAGGCCCATGAAAAGTGACAGAACACTAAATTTTAAAGATGTATAGTGTAGTGATTTCAAATTAAACAGCCAACAATACCTCTGCTAATAAGCGTAGTTAATTTCAGCAGTAGTTACTTCATATTGGATAAAAATACGAGAAAAATAATAATAATAATATACACTATATGAGATGCAAAAAAGAAAATAGTAAACATATTATAAAACAGTAGAAGAATGATCTCATTATGTTTTGGGAACATAGCACAATGATGATACATAGATTTTTCCAACTCATGTTAACATCTGGTATATTCGATTAACCTTTGGAGAAGGAAGAACTTGTTATTAGAAGCTTATTAATTTTGTCAATTAAAAATGACACAGACTGTTAGGCCTAAGGGTAATTTTTAGAGTTTTGCTTTTGATAATTGAAAAATGAATAATGATGAGTTAGTACAATGAAATTTGAACTCTTTAGCAAGATTATAAATAAAATAACTGAGTGGTGAAAATAAAAAATCAAAATGTACAAAAAATGAATCCAATAGACTTTATAAACACTGTTTCTAAACAAATTCCAATTGCTTAAAAATAGGGAAGTTATTGAGAAGACCGTGTAACCTTTAAATTCTCAACATCTTTCAAAGAAAGATTTTTAATTGGAATAAAAATATTCCATGCATTATATCTATCAATCAATTAATATATTTAATAATACTTCTCTGTAATGCTTATTAAAATTTCATAACATATTTATTGTCATTTCATGGCTTTTAATTAAATTATATAAAGATATCATAAATTAGAATTAACAATAACAACCATAAATAGATTCCACCATAATTTTAAGCGAATATTGCAACATCTAAAATTGCTGCAAATTGTCTGACTAGACCTGTCCCTCCATTAAAACCATAATTTAATAAACATTATTTCTTTATAAAATAAACATTTTTATGGATTTACTTTTTGATAAAAACAAACATTATTTATTAAATAAATGTGTTTCCCCCAATTACATTGCACTTATTTTTGAGATGCTATCTATTTTTACGTGATTCTTGATCAAATTTATTGTTAGTTAAAACAGTCGCAAAAGTACCTAAAGAAGGCTTAGGCCTTTCACGCAAAAGCCAGGATTTGAATACGGAATGCTGAAAGTACAAATAACAAATGAAACTGTATATGTAAAATTTAACAGATTGAATAATAACATACAATAATTTACTAAATATATATTCAAAAATATCAATATTATTTCTATCTTGTATTGGTGGATATGTTTTGCAGTTAAATTAACGTTGATATAATTATTCAGATTTTGATGTTTTAAAACAAATAATAAAAGTTTTTATGAAAATATATAATGCAATAATCATAGAATACTGCACATTTTGAGGCGAAATTGATTGTTTTGATTTACACTGCTTTCGGCATTTCCAAAAAATATAACAGAACTATTTACATTTTGATTTTGTACATAACTAAATTCTTGTTAAGTTGTTATTAGGTACTGCCAAATTACCTTCATGAAGTAAATTTTAAAGAATAAATATACTATATATTTACTTCTTTCACTCAAAGCAGGAAACAGATCATGTCTTTTAATATAATTTGTTATTTATTTTGTTTCATATTTAAATAATTACAATGTTAATAATTTATTATCTATATAGATGGTTAAATTTTCTCTTTGGTAGTGAAGTAAAGGTAAGAGAATTTTTTGATTGCTATGGCGACATAACAACATCAATATCTTTAACCCAGTACACAGACGGTGGCCATTTTTGGGAACATACTTATTCATAGTCAACCAATTTTGTAAATATTTATAAATTTTCCAAAGTTTTTATCTGAATATTTAATGTAATATTTAGAAACTATTCTTCACTGTTGACAGACAATAGTCTTGGATGAACACCATCTCTCTTAGGATGTCTCTCATACTTCAAAAACACATGCATGATATTAATATATATTTCCAGACAAAGTTATAGCATATCATTTTAGCCATTGACCATCACCAAAGTAAATGTTGTAAAGATGTGTGATATTAAATCGGTAGAAATTTTGAATTTCCACTTTAGCCGTAATCAACCAGAAAGAAAACCATAACTGATGGTACAGCGACATGCAACGAGGGGATAGAAGGAGCGAAAAACAAACGGCAAGTACGGACAATAATGAGATTGCGACCACTGTTTCCTTTCAATTTATCCGATTGGATGGCTGTTGAGTGCAGTCCTTACTGAGGTATAGCTTTCAGGATTGCATTGACTTCTTCCGCCACAGCCGTCAGGACAAATTCAAATTGCTCCTGTGGGAATAAAAATTTATCTGTTATGAATAAGCAATTCTGGGAGAAAGGATTTCAGAACATGTACAAATATAATCGATACGTAATTGCTGTATGATAGTAAGAATAAAACAAAAAACTTGCGTTAATATTTAGCATATCAGTAGAGCATATTGCTCATACATATTTTGACATACATCAAATACGACAGTTCCTCATATTTAGTTCCAATGATTACTACTCCATCAACAAAAACAATTGATATTACTGTGGCTAATTCACTTACTCATGTGCTAATTACCAAATATCATTAGTTATTATAATTTTAACTCTATAATTGTAACTGACTTATAAGTTGCAAGCACGCAGCTAGTCAGTAAAGTTAAGTGAGCTCAGCAAAATTAATTCAAAACAACAAATTTGATTTTCTCTACTCCAGGAAGGAGTTAACCAGTAATGGAAACATGATGATGGAATTTTAATTTAGTTCAGAAGCTTAATAAACTGCAGAACACTTCTAAGGCAATTCACTTTAAGTTTAGGTGTATGGTTTCAATTTGCTTGTTCAGATTTGCAAGTGCTAAAATATGCTTTAGTATTCCAGACTGGCAAAGCAACAAGAGAGGGACTATCAAATTTTATCTGACAAAAAACTATTGTATGCCCATATATAGTCATAACATGCCTATATATGGTCCTGATGTGATGTCATCATGATCCTATTTAAGCATGTCTTTCTTCCTCATCATGTTTTTGTCAAATAAAAGTTGATAGACTGTACAAGAAAATGAAATGAGGTTAGAAATTGATCCTGACAGATCCTCATCAAAAAGACATCTTGGGTAATCTCAAAAAAATGACCGGCAATCTTGCTAATTCCCATAATAAATTATATAATTAAGTTTAACTGGTTATTATATATCATTACTTTTAATAATTACAGGGAAATGAGTGACGGCGTCCAGGAATACAAATATATGCCACTGCTGACAAATTAATTTTATTTCTCTACCTTTTAAACGCATGTTACTTGTGTTTTCAACAAATTAAAACACCACAAACAAAAATGGTAACATATTATAAATTTGTAATTGACTCTCTAAATACAGTACTCTGGAAAATGTAAAATCATGAAGGGAAAAAAACCATCGACCTTCCATTAACGCACTGAAAGATCTAATTACCGTCAAAGTCTAAACAACATCGGTTGTTGTTGAGAGATAAATTTTTAATACTAACTTTGACCATGATTGAAGGGTAGATACTGTTGTGGTACAGAAACTCACCATTGTACGGACCATTCCAGGTCGTTGATCTCGAACATGTTCCAAAGTAGCAGCTAGGTCAATCTCTTTCGCACCTTTGATCATCCTCGTTAAGGTCATGTCAATCAAGCAATAGGTTCCGGTGCGTCCAATACCATCACTATGAAAAGTAAATTAGACAATATTCAAAGATTAGAAGTTCTTGAGACATATAAAGAATGATCAGTCTATTCGGAGAAATGATATTATACAGTAATTTATTTTATATCGCATATTAAGCGGGAAAATACACACATAAACACATCATTGCTCATATCACAAACTAACACAATTAAAGTAGATTGTTTTAGTTGTGAAAAGTTGTTGTACAGACTTTTTGTAAAGAATACAAAATTGCTTGACAACCAATATGTGTAATCCACTTTAATTTTGTTAGTTTGTGATGTGAGTGACGAAATATCTATACTTATACTTCATTCATAAGTATTTTATATACTTGTATTTATTTTTTAATGTTATTTTTTTTTAAAAATTTAGTGGATTTTGTTAAAACACCTATACAGCCTATATACTGCTATTGTATAATTGTTTTTTTAACACGATTAGTTTCTTTTAGTTATTTTTCTTTCTCTCTTTTATACATTGAACACACACAATTTTTGTGTGCCGCTGAAATGAAAGTTGAATAAATAAATAAATACTATTAGAAATTAAAATCAAAAGTTTGTATAGCAGGGATGTAATGCGGCAAACTACTGTACCAACCATCGTGTGCAAACAGCTAAAAAGGTGAAGGTGGCTAACATTTAATAAATATTTATATAAGCTATATTTATTATAAGCTATATTCAAAACATTGAATATTTAAGCATTAACAATCAAAAACACATTTGCTAGGACATGACTGGTTTTCAATATTCCAAATGTGTTATAGCAACAGTCATACAGAGGCCATTATTCTATAGAAAGCTGTTAAGACTAGATTTTGAAAAGCATTTTGTAGCGACTCATTCTAAGCCACATGTCTCCAATATAATATTATCCTCACCTGCAATGTACCAGAATAGGACAGCATCTTCCCCGGTAAGACTTGTTAACTTTCCTACAAAATATTGGAAGGAAAAAAAAAATCATTTTACATATGAAGAAATCTACCAAAGGTTTATATTACAACAAACTTCAACAGTGAGAACCAATCAAGTACAAAATGAAATCATCTACATAAATGTGTAATTGATTTTCTAAAGATATTCTCAATAGAAAACTTGTCCCAGAAATATTAATTCAATTATACTCTCATTCTTTTTAAAAGTAGTTCATCAATATATACTATTTTGGAAAGTCGGAAATTAAAGGGATAGATCTCTAAAAACTCCAAGACAACTGGGAATCCCTCGTGAGTACCTCGCAGACCTGAAAAATCCAAGACATATGTTGTTCGGGGCCAGGCAGGGGTTATCTTCTTGACATTCTACGCTTATGTTTAATAATGAGTAGCGAATACTGTCCAGATTCATGCACCGTATTTAGTCCTCTGTGAACCAATAGGAATATCCCTTTAAAGCATATTTACTTTCTATACTGTTTTCAATTCAAATTTTAAATTAGTACTTGTCTTCTGTATAATGTAAAGATTGAGTGATCTTATTAATTTTAATGAGGAAAAGAGAAATATACAGATATGGAATTAAAAAAAAAAATAAAAAAATGTATCAGTTATTTTCAGTTGTAAACTCGGTTTTGGATTCTTTCCATGGTCAGTATGTTGTCGTATGAATTAAGTTCTGTGCACTTTTATCAGTAATTTGTACTCCTTATGACAGTGGATTTGATATGTAGGCCTATATCAGAGCTACTTAGACAGCTGCAATTTGCTGGTTGAAGCGTGTGGCGGGGTAGCGAAGTAGTATATGGGCAGTTAATTTTAGCATGACTGGAACACTTCCAAATGGAGTGAACGTGGTTACACGGTTGTCCATGATGAGGGAATGTTGCGAGTGCCTTGCATTCCTTGGCAAAAGGAATTGACTGCAGGATTTAAATGTCTACATTTATTATCTATTATTATATCTATATAGTTTTATCATGTCCTAATGATAGACAGCTGTAGATGACAAGATTTATCTAATCAAAAAAAACCTTTTTGATGTCACTGTTTCAAATGTTTCTTTCAGTTTCTGTTTTTAATTGTATCAGATATTGAATGGATCCGAAATGAATACCTTAAAAGAAATGAATTTCGTTTCTTAAAAGTCATCAAGTAATTAATCACAGAAAGAGAATAGGTTAAATGAGATTAGAGAGTTCAATGCACTGGCTCCCGGTGAATTTGCATAAATTAAGGCAAATGAATGCGTAATAAATTTCAGTTATTAGGTCTATAATTCATCTGATAATTAAAGCATAGGAGATAAATAGCTTATTAAACGTAATTTCAAATAGTCAATATTCTATCTTAGTTTAAACATAGTGCTATTTTGCATTTGGCATAACTAATAAAAACAAACTTATACCTTAAAGACATTAGTTTTATTCATTACACCTGCAAGCAATGTCATTAAAATACTGAAGGCAAATAGGTTAAATGAGAAATTATGAAAACTTCAATAAGCCAGACCTTCATGAAGATGAGTGACTGTATGTCTCATAAATAACTAATAAACATTTTAAGCATTTTGTTTAGAGGAAAGGCTAATTTTTTATAATCACAAGATTTTTGATGGTCGGTATTGTAAAATTGGTGTAATGACTTTGGGGCAAGATTGCTTCGTGATTGTTTGTCATGCTATGTTTTGTCATGTTGTATTAGTCAGTGCTAATTGCAAGCGAGTTTCATCTTCTGGCCACATTCGTTGTAATGATTCATCCATTTTATGAAACCTCATTAGCATAATTGCAACGGGCAAGCTCTAATTGGCTAAAACAATTAACCCTCATTTCCAGATTAACATGCATAGTCCTTCGGTTATGACCTCCGTATTACTTTAACAGGAAAAGTCAAACTCTCTTTTGTTACGTTATTACAACATTAGTCAAAATATTGAGAGTGCACCTTCTAACAGCTGACCTATGACCTCTCTACACATACAGTTTAAATGATCTCATATTAAAAACAATATAGCAGAAACAACATTAAAATATATCAATGAATAGTAAGTAATTATTTTAAAAATAAATAATTTTAATACAGTAAAAAACTATAATCATTACTACTATACAAATAAATATTTGAAATAGGAATAAAAATGGACAGTATTTTAAACAACATTCCCTTCCCTAAAAATATTTGTATGATATATTACATTAATTATTAATGTTTGTGTATAAATACTTATATGAAAAACCAAGCTAGTTACAAATTTTGTTATATGCCTACCCTGTGTAATGGAATCTCAATGAATTTTGTAGTAATGGTGGTCACCATACAAAACAAAAAGCTTACGTAGGATAATAGAATAACCTGGTAATATTGTATAACATGCATTACCATACACATTCCAACATCACATTTGAACTGTTCTGATAAAATGGGTCACAAAAGTCAGAAAAAATCATATTAGATACAAGGAATTAATCAAAAGAGAATATATTTGAGCTTTGATAGAATGTACAGCATTTAAATAACTCTTGCTTTTATACAATCATAATCAAATTCGATCGTAGACCTAATGGTTCAAAGAAAATAGCACTTAAATACTCCAGTTTTTTTTCCTTAAATTGGAATTAAAATACACTCACTTTAGTATTTTTTGGCACTTAAAACAAATCAAATAGTTGAAATACACAGAATTCAGATGAATAAATAGAGATTGTAAAAGTGAAAAACTAATTCTGACAAGACATAATATATTTTTAACATGATAACTTGACTTGAAATATTTACCAGATACAATGTAACCTACTTTGTCAAGCTAGGTTATATATTTGACAGTATATGTGATCAATTTTCATATTCTAAACTTAATTCTATAATTCAATGAAATATAAAGAGATAAACAAACCACATGTTCTGATTATCTATAGGTATCACCAATAGGTAAATGCAATACAAACTTGAAAATTTTACAAAATAGAATTGCTTTTTTGAAATAATAATTCAAGTGAGAAAAAAAAAAATTCTTCACCAATTAACAAACTTTAAAATAACACCAATAATATAATATTTGCAAACACCTGTACTCTTAATTAATGGGAGATCATTTTAAGAAATTATATAGCAAAACATGTGTAACTCATTGAAAAATGTTTAGTTGCTATATGTGACTTATTGAATGTTTCCCTTTAAACTTAAATGAGCAAAAATTATCCAAATGCTCAATAAAGTAATTAAATCTGTGGCAATTTTATTACTCACTGATGTTAAAAAAATGTGGATTTTATATAGCACTATTTTATATATTTAACTTAGATGTTTTTATATTGTACAATTTGACGTGAAAAAAAAATGTACTAAGAAATTCCAAAACTTGAAAATTGATCACTTAAGTATGTATGGTTGAATGTGAGTTTAGGAAAATAAAAGTAAATAAATCTTTAAAAATTGATCGGTCGGTAAAATAGATTTAAAACTGAGAAAGAGGATTGAGCACTACATTTATGTGACATGTTTAGAGATGTTTAGAGGTATAAACTTCAAAAAAGAAAACAGCAGTTGATAGCGACAAGCAGAATATCTTATTGATGCCAGCAAACTGCAAACATCTACACATAAACAGGATGGCAGATGTTAAATTCAATGATGGATCTCTTAATGAAGGCACCGTGATACTCATTTCGAGATCACAATCAAGTTGATAAGTTAATCCAATGAAATCGCAGAACCCATCAGCTCAATGGGGGAATGGCTGCCCATAAAATACGATACAGGCGATAAATTGTTGAGATGGAATATAACATTAGTATGCAGGTAATTACGATGAGAAAATGTTTAGAAAACAGTCTGTCCACTACTAGCAAAAATACTATTCTTTATTAAAAGCTTAGATCTTTTGATGTACAGAAAATGCAGATTGGATGGAAATAATAAAATATTAAAATCAACTGCTGGGCACTAGGAAAACAAAACTATATTAACACAACTATTCGATTTGAAAACCGCTTACATTTTCATCTTACTCTACATCGACTAATGAGCTTGTAACATGGTTAGTGTCTTCACAACAAAGGAAGCGTTGATCGTTGGGGTCAGGTGATAAACCGCAGACCTAGACCTGTCACCATCAGCAAAGCACGTTGGAAATAAGATTTTGTTAGCGGATGACGTGACGCAGTTATAAAAAATCAGCACATGAAAATCCGTGGTGAAAGTAAGAATCGTTAGCGAAATCGTTAGCGGATGAAGTTACGCAGCGACAGAATCACTTTTGTGACTATGCAACTGCACTACGGCAGGGGAAAGTTGCACAAGCACAAAAATGACCCCGTCGTACGTTTGCTCTGGGTTAGTATTCTGGAACATGTACAGTAGCATCACAGCAAGATGTTAGGTGAAGGAGTCAGCAAATGTGAGTTAAGCAAGTGTTAAGATGCTATTTTCAAAACAGTACTCTATTTATATTAAGATTAAACTAAAACAATAATTAAAAGATTAATGTAAAATAAACCCTAAATTATTTCAAGCAACCACTGAAAACCAGCAAATCATCAAAGAGAACCAAAATATAGTTTATCTATCAATTTAAAACCGCTCTAATCTTGAGAACGATCAAATTCAAGACCATTTTTTATAAATAAAAACTATTAGACAATTTTCAATCTGTTAGTAGACAAATAAACCTCTAATTGGATACCCCCAATTACCACATTAGATGTTTAGTTCCCAAAAGTACTGTACAGTTTTGAATACTGACAAGAAGAATATATGCAATCTCAGTGTTGAATGTCATTTCTGGGTTGTATTTTATTGTAAGTATGGCAACCAAATTAACTAACTTAACTAACAGGGTGACCATAACCATAACCAGGCACTACATCTCATAATTACCTATCTCATCAAGTCAACAACCTTTAATTCTAATAGCATAATGATGTGCTTCTCTGCTATTAATGCTTCTATTACTAACTTCAAATTCATTTTATCTATTATGAAATTGTTGCTGGTCCTTGTTGAATTAAACAATATATGTTATTATTATGACTACAAATAATAATGCTAATAATTAATTACTGTATTGTAAACACAGTTTTGACAGTACTAAAACTGTAACCGGCACAAGAAGCAATTTTACAGAGGGCGCTATTGATGTTTTCATGTTAAGCCTAATCTATGTTCTCTGTTGCAGCCAAATAATTATTGGAATTCATATTCTATTTTTAGAATAAAATCTCATCAATTATGTGTTCTGCACATTAATCTCAAATATAATGTTTCAGGTTTTGGCAGTGATTGCAAATATTTCATCAGATATTCTAAAGAAGTAGTTGAATGAATAGATTCAGTAATTCATTTTCTACAGACAGATATTACAAAATATGGATAGAGAACATGAACACTAAATGCACCTCTAACTACAATTTTCTCCTGCTTACCGTAACTAAATTTATGTTTTAATCTTACATTGTGTTTTATGTTTTGCTGCCTTTTTACAAACCGTTGCTGCACTACTGTATGTTAAATCATGCAAATTATTAATTGTTATGAAAATACCAATAATGTAATAAACATAAGAAACTATTTAACTGATTTGCTGATATACCAGGTCATTTACATTCCCTTTTATAGTTAGCCACGCAGTGTAGCAAAAGTATTAACTATGAAATGAACAAGTACATTTTGGATCATTTATGCCTTTGTGTAATTCCACAGAAAACAAATTGGCTGCACTTTTGGCAATATTTCCAACCAGGGATGTCTGCAGATGAGTAGAATATCTTGCTGTTAGGAGTTTGATATATATAAATGCATAGGTTGCTTTTTAAAGCCAAAAGTTAGTAGTAAAGCGAATATGATGAAATGAAATATTGCAAGGTTAAAATGAAGAAAATGCGATGTTTGTTAGATTATTTTCAGCATTTAATTGAATTGTGATACAATCCATTTATCCTTTCTCTCATATCTAATTCTACTTTCATCCTTTTGATAGCAAAAGTGCATAATTGTACCAATGGTATATATCTATTCAACATTAATATTTGACATAAAATTATATTGCGCCCTATATAATTATTTGTTTGATTTCATTTAAAACAATTTATTTTCTTAAATAGCAAGTAGACTTAAGAAAATTGTAAATACCACCAAGGTCTAGAAACAGTAATAATAGCTTTCATCTGTATTTTTTGAGAAGTTACTTCTGTTTATAGATGGCTGACAATAAATAATTTACCTCACTTTTAATATACAAAATTACGAGCCAGCCATTCACATAAAATAATTTTTCACCAAAAGGTTTTCACACTCCTCAATAACTCTATACCTCATGAGGTTTTATAAAATATATATAATAATAATTAATACTAAAAAATCTAAAATGAGATTAATATTTGAATTCATAAGAATGAAAATAAATGCATAAAGAAAAAAAAAGGGAAAACTAACCTTCGGAATTCAAGTAAAGATCGTGGTGACGCTGGTACACCGTTGTCAGGCCAGGTCAGATAGTGGAACTGAGTAACTGTTCGTGTTTCATTCGTCTGCAAGAAAATAATTTCTTAATGTTATTTATTTTGCTATGCAAAAGTATAATCTTCATTATGCGTGACTCTATGAATCAAAAACTGAGGGGACACAATCATTTGTGTTCCACAGCATTGCATGGACACTGACAGCATCAACTGAAAGAAAAAATTCAAACATTTGAAATAAAATCACACAGAATTCTCCAAATCCTGTACACAGATCATGTAACAAATGCAGAGGTTAGAGAAAGGACTTACACTCGCATTGGACAAATTGAAAATTTACTAACAACTGTCAGGTCAAGAAAACCGGTTTGGACATATATACAGGCAGAGTGACACTTCAAGCAACTCAATCTTGCAGAGCTACGTAAATGGCAAACGGAAGCGAGGAAGACCAAGGACAAACTGGATAAACAACATCACTGATAAGTGTTACATTCCTAGCTTCACAGGTTAAAATTACAATCGTTTTGAGTATTGTCGTTTCTTTGTTTGAATAACAGAAGAGAAAATAAAATCTATATTCAAAATATCTAGGAGATAATCCTGATTATTCCGAGTATGGAAACTCGAGAGTAAGTTCATGATATTGATGGTGAATATCATTTAAATACTCAATTGAGCGACTGCTGAAAGCAGACTTTTTGTGGTGTGAACCTGACCTCCATAACAAAAGTCGGACGAATGACAAGGATGTGGGCACAGCATCATGGATCATGTAACAATTCAGAGTGCAATCACTCGAACAGATGCCTTAAGTCGTGTAAGTATTGACGAAAGTATGATAAACGGAAATAAACCAATATTTGAATGAATACGCTGATACAAAAGCATCACATGCATTGGTGATAATATTTTTTAATGGGAAAAATTAATGAATAATATTTGAAATGCTTCATTACATATTGTTGATTTTTTTTTTGTAGTTTAAGAAATGTTTGTTTTTGACATATTCTTAAATAACGTGTTACTTTTCTAGCTTTTGTTTTAGAGAAGCATGTAATAATATAAATAAATAACATCAAAAAATGCAATAATAACAGTAACACTAGCATATTAAGATATAAAGAAATATCAACAATAAAAAAATAATAGCAAACATTGATAATAACAAATAAACAACAACAATGATAATAATATTATCAATAATAATAATAATAATGACAATATTTTACGTTAAGTAATCATAATTAATATTATTAGAAAGAAATATGAAATCTTTGAAAATTTACTGTTTTGTACAGTGTTTTATATAAGGTAGAACCCCTCCTTTGGGACACCTCTATTAAGGGGACACTTATAATAATATTTTTTAACACTACTCCTATTCAGGGGACAAACCTATTAAAATAGCATAATAATTACTCCAAGTATCGAAATGCACGCCATCATGTCGGGATTCAATATTTCGATATTAATTATGTCATTATCAGGAATGAACCTATTATGGGGACAATTATTTTGGTCCCAAAGGTGCCCACATTACTGTAGTAATTCCAATGCTGAAAAAACCTCCAAGTTTTGTCAAACATAATATGTATTTCAAACACTAACCAATAAGTTCTTAAGATAGAAACTCCGCACAAGATAATCTTCACACCATACGTGTTCCGAGACCAAGTGCACTTCGTAGTTTTCATAAGCCTTGTTGTCTTCCTCCGGCCAGTATTTCTCGCATTGGACAATATCATTTTCGGCAGGTCGTGTCAAGTTGACTATCACCACTACACCGTTTTCCCAAATCATCTGCCAACAAAAAAAAATGGGATGTTTTTAAACAAATTGGGCAGAAATTGAACATTCACATCAAGTAACAATGGGTTAAATCATGGTACACACAGAGATCAACAACAGAAATCATCATTATATAACCATCAGCATAACTATGGAGGTAATACATCAATGGTTTACAAGGTTCCAAAAGAAGAGGTAGGCAGAAGATGATGTAGGCAGAGGAAGAGGTAAACAGAAGAAGAGATGGGAGAATAATATGAATGAGTAGACTGCAGTGGCGTATCCAGGGGAGGGCGGGGGCTGTCTCTTATACACATCTAGATGTGTATAAGAGACAGCTCTGCTATTAATGCTTCTACCCAAAATGATGGTCAAGTAGTTATATATCACCTAAAATCACCATATTTTGCGAATTAGCGTCTCTCAACTGATAATCGAGCCCCCTACTTCACCATTCCACCTCCCCCATCAGACCCCCCAATTTAAGACTTTTAAATACGCCAATGGTAGACTGCAAAAAAAACCGAGAGACAGTGAAAATATTGTTGTGAAGTCCTGCCCCTACAACAAAAAAAGCTTAGATATGGGAGATACATATTTAATAATAGTTTTGTTTGAGTCAAGAAATTTGACAGTCTACAGTAGTTCCTTTGTATATACAGTACCTGCCAAAAGTCGGACATGGTGTTAGGAAGTGGAGCTTGCGTAGAGATATAGGCAGGAGATCTTGGGTCAGAATCCGTCTGTAATAAAAAGAGAAGAGAATTCAGTTGTTAAATCATATGATTTTATAAGCTGTTCTTTGCATTTACTATCATCATCATTGTCACCATCATCATCATCATCATCATCATCATCATCATCATTATCAATTATTTTATTATCATCATCATATCCATCTCCATAATCATCATCATTTTGATTTTATTTTTAAATTCAAAACAATTATTTCTGTAAACATATCATTGGAAACACCTGTACTTGTAAACTAACATCACATGCAAACTTTGCATAAACTATATCAATTTTCATATATTTTTTATTGATTTAAAAAAATAATTTGTACGAACAATTATATATACTTCTAATGTAATTTCCAGAAGAATAAATGCATTTTAATCTGAGCTGAGAATTATGTATACAGTTAAAGACTATACAGCTTACTGTACTTGTAATTTCAATCATCCCATTGCAATCAGCAGCTCAAACAAAGCGTTATAAAAATCAAAGTAGCAAATGATTTATCAGGAAATAAAGATGAAGTTTCAAGCAGGACAATACTACTTACTATTAGACTTGCATTAATATAATCAGACTGAGATGGGCCTGTGGTTTCCTTGAGAATTACTCTGGTATGATCATCTAAAGATAATGAAGGAAAAAGAAAGATATAATTTATTAATAAAAATATACTCTACTGCAATTTGCATAATTAAATTATGGTGTTATTATTTTTTTATTTTAATTTATTTGGAAATTTTATGGATAACCAAAAAGCTTTAAGTATATACAAGTCTTCCTCCAACTAAAGATTGCTTTTGGGACCTTTACATGGTCTTTAGAAGCTTTTATCTCTAATTAGCACCATAAAGATAAAAGACATTTGTGAATTTGAGACCACAGAAAACTGTCTTTAATTCGAGATGGTCTTAAATTGGAGGGTCCATAATTAGATGGAGACCTGTATTACTGTACCGTAAATTCATCAGTCAATTTAATTTGTTTGGAAATTTTCAGTATGTACTACAAAAAGTGTAATACAATATATTATAGATAATAGTAAAACAGGTAATATTTTTCTGGATAACTATAAAGATTTAAGTATATATTTCTATGGGGTTCATATTCTTGAATACATTGCAGCTTTTAGGCCAATATTTAATATGCAATAAAACTTCATTATATTACATATTTCAATATATTCCTAAGCTGTAATTAATGTAAGAATACAGATTAGTATTCAATGATCTATAACCATTTTGTGAACATAGATTATAATCAAAAACCTTTAACTTTGATTAAAAAATGTGGTTTTTTTTTTCGATCATTTGTAATATGTAGCACAAGATTTTATTCCATTTTCTTATACATGTCAAGTAAAAGGTATTAAAATAAAATTTTCCATCTGACCTAGAATCTGATAAAGGACATATAAAGTGTATTATTATTCAGTATTCTGTATTTTATGTTGATTAAAAAATATTTATCAGCCAAAAGCCCATCAATATTATGACGGATGGTATTATACAGTTTTGCAGTGGAGGTGTTGATCAAATAGAAATGCATAAAACATTGCAGTAATTTTATAATTCTTAAATGCATTTCAGCAGTCATATTTCCTTGACATGAGTTGGAGCATTCTAATCCCAGGTTGTACCATCGCTCTTGGCCTTGTACATGGCACATTATCTATGCATGCCCTATGTCTCTATGGAGTATGAATGGGTAAATGGTAGGATGCTAACACTTTTTTCTAATACTGTACACTTAATTTATGTTGAATATTCATGATCAGAATTTCTCTTACTGTATGTATTGGGACAGAATGTTGTTTATGATTGCTAGTGTTTCTAAAACAGGGTAACAATGGGGAAATCAATGATGCTTTCAGTGAAAAGAGCTAAAAGCAAAAAAAAAACAAAACTTTTATAATAATATTTTATTTTCAATGAAAACATATAAATTTTCATGAGTTAAACTTTCCAGGAAGTACAACCAAATTTTAATCTAGATGTAACCAAGCATTAAATCGCCAAAACAACAAGAATTGTTGCACGTACAAGGTAGAACGTCTTCAAATCTATTCTTGGACAGATTTTTCGCCATCTTGCCAATCGTGGTGAAGTTGGGCTCAGCCTCGTACTCCGACAGCGCCTTCCATTCCTCCGTCAGTCTGTCTTTGTTCCGCATATGGTCTTCCATGTATGCCTAAAGGAAAATGAAAACAGATCAATTCTCTCTTCATCACAAATATTATAAATAATTAAACCACCTGCTCTCTTTGCAAGCTTTTGTTTAATGCTCAAAAATTTAAAAATTTAGCTTCTACTAATTTCCTTTGCATTTCACTTGGGGTTCTTGGATCAATAGGAGGGAGTCAGCATAGATATCAATAATCCATGCACCTTGACTCAGGTACAAATGCATTCTGACACTTGGTCTCCTCCATATCATATATATTTTAATAGTAATTTACTTACTTTAAATATTACGATTTTATAAAGAAATTCATTATTTTTTTCTGAATGGCTGGAAGTGTATCAAGAGAGTGACAGAGAGTTATGAAAAGCTTATAAATCCTTGTCAGATAAAACAATTATAAACAAAAATATTATTAAAACAATTAAAAAAACCCTTCTAATTTTGGCCATTGAAATTAGCAATCAAATAAAGCATATACATTTAAATATTTAATATTTTCCAGGTTTTTTTAGCTTATCAATCACAAAATGTACAATGTTTATGTTTCAACTTTTAAGTCATGGCAGGTTAAAAATTAATTCAATTCAATAAAGCTTTATTATATCACAATGGGATAATTTTACTACATTCATAACATTTAAGACACATAAGTTTTGATTTCCCCTTCAGAAAAAAAAATGATCTAGCCAATTCTTTCCCATTCTAAGAATTACACTGACAGTGGCGGGCCTATATGATGGCACAAGGGGCCTATTTCCCTGGCAGCAACCAGAAAATCTTTAACTATTATCTATATAAGAAGTATGAATAGCTAAAGCTTCAGAACCCCCAGAGGGCTATAGCCCATTGACCCCCAAATTAGCTAATGGGACATCCCACGCCTGCCTCTTGAAACATTTGGAATGGATATGTAGTAATTAATACACTAGAGAAATTAGTAATTTTCTTGAAATTTCAAAAGCTTTTCAATCAGAATTTTTAGATGATTACAAATATATTGCTTAATAATACTTTAAAATTAACAAGTTTGGAACGTAAAATATCACAGTTCTAAAGTGACTTTAATATATTTTGCTTAATGATCACTTAAAATGATTAAATAGGCTTATGGAAAAGTGTTTGTATGTAGCATTCAGGATTTTTAAAAGCAAATCCGCCATTTATTGGCTTATCCGGAACTTGACTACAACGGCTGGTGTAATATGATCAAACACCGTCTATGCCTTACACTCAGCATTATATAAGCTTTGAACTGTTATTCTTTGGAACTTAAATAAACTAAATTGAAACCAAAATCATTTAGTTTAAATGTCATTATTATGTAACATAACAGACAAGTTTGATGCTTAATTATAACAGCTGTTCTTTAAAATAAAATCAATCACGTAATTACACACAAACACACGCATGTAGAATCGGATGTGGGATTATCGTACAGCATTACAATGTGTGTTGTTGATTTACGTCGAGGAAAACACGCAAGTTAGCAAGAAGCCGGCCTACCATAAATGACCAGAGAGTTGTCAGTAAAGATACTGTAAGACCCACAAACACAAAATACCATTATACATTCGCGAGCGTTGTGGTGAGGTTTAGTTACAAAAAACATTAACACAATTTTGCTTTAACGTCTGCGAAGTTATTTAGTCAGAAATTACATTATAAATACATATTTTTGGTTCTATTATGTACTAAAAACTGCAAAGTTATTACAACATGAAATTATCAGCTGCAAGTGCATATATTTTAGGAAGCTGAGTAATTATTATTACATAAACTATTTCAAAATTCTAATTACATAATACCTGTCCCTTATACACATCTAGATGCACAATCTCCCACAAGCCCCCAAAATGTTTGAGAATCAGAATTTTGATCATTTTCATGTTTTTGCATTTTATAAAAGAAGATATATAGAAGAACATTTCTGTAAAATATCAATGACTGAATCTAACTGAAAAGTATATCAAAATTATTGTTAATATACAAATCTTATTAATAAACTATTGATTTTGAAATCTTTGGAAGCTGTTTCTCAAAACCTACATAGCTGATATCCAATGAGATAAATATTCGTAACTTTGCTAATACTCAACCAATTTCCACCAAATATACACTGTTTTAATGAAGACTACTTGGAAGATCCAGAACATTAAAAAATTCAATTTTTAATTTTTCCTACAAACAGAGAGTTTTGCCAAAGTCGTTCACATTTGATAATGTACTAATGATGTAGATCCTAAAGGAAGAACAAAAAAAAAAAAACAAAAAAAAAAAACCCATATATATTTACCAGATAATTATAAATAAAAAGGTTATTTATAGATACAGGCTTTTGCTCCTTTTACAATATTTGCAGGTGTGTAAAAATTAATAGATTTCTGAAAGCATGATTCAAACGATATGGTGGAACTGTAGACTTTACAATCATACAGTACACCTATACTATGAGGCTGCGAAAAACAATAATATTAACTACTCTATTTTCAGAAATTCCAACAGATTTTTATATCGGCGTCTCAATCAAATATGGGTGTGTTGAATACATATAATGGTTGATATCATATTCACCTCCAATCAAAATTGATGCAGTTTTTAATGTAGAACACAATGCAACAACTTGCAGTCGCAGATAATTGTACAATTAAAAATGGTTACAACAGTTTTTAAAAAGCTTTTTTCTTTTTTTTTTTAATTGAACATATGGTTGAGATTATTACTATATTGTTCAATTTTCTAAGAAATTTACTGGAATCCATAAGCAAAGAACACACTTTCTTGCCAACATATTTGCTAATTATAACTGTTAGCATGCAATATCTATTCTTTGTCAACAACATTTCCATCTGTTCTTATTTGATGTTGATAAGGGTATAATAGAATGCACTTGATTATGGACAAAATTATTTCAAAAACAAGTAATCCCAGATTAATGCAGGCACAAATTATGCTGTACTTCTGGGAATACAAGGAGATAGTGTACAAGACAAATGCTTGCCAATTTTTTTCATCATATTAGATATTTGCATAATTTCCATAAACAGTGACCGATCTTCAAGATTCACGCATGAAAGCTGATTCTTTGTGTATGGCAGTTACTTTGGTATTAATATCATTCTTGTACATATAATTTTAATGAAAATAGAAACATTTTCAAACAAGGTAACTGAATTTTTTTTTTTTTTTAATGTAGAAGGGCAAACCTGTGTATCGCTTATGTTTGGTTTTTAATTCAATTTTCACACAAAAATTACTATAAAATTATTTTCAGCATAAAAATGTGAGGCGTTATTTCCCTGTTGTTTCATTAGAAAGACATGAGCAAAATTTTCAGGTAATTTCGGAAATGAACATAGTCGACACAATGTCTCAGTCACGTTTTCAACTTGGCAAAATAGTGAAGATAATAATATTAATATGTAAAATGCTCTTGCATCAGAAATGCAAAGACAGAAGTCTATCTGTAAAATAAAAGAGTTTTAATGAAAAAATAAAAAATACCAATTTTATTCATACATAAATGTATGAGATAAGTTGCCAGGTAATTTCACGAATGATACAAAATTTATGGAGAAATATGCACTAAAGATAATATTTATATTAATACATATATATTGTCATAATCAGAAACTTATGACAGAAATTTTATTTAAAGATAACAAAAAATTTATCAAAATATAAAAAAAAAACCAAACTAAATTAATAAAATTCATCTGCCTTTAATAAAGAGATTGCAACAGTGTAATAGATATGAAAAGAAACATCTTTATAAACCCAGACATAATAAGTGGTATTGATCAACCCAATTGGCTATACCATATCAGGTAATTACTTTCGGAAATTATTAATGAATCATCCTCATTGTTATTAATATTTTATTATTTTATCATTCAATTCTTTGTGGACCTACATAGTTTGGACGCAAATTTATGATACTAACAATGCTACTGATATAGAAAATGTTGTTTTTTATTTTCCAGAGACAAAGAGAGTATTTGAAACAAAAAAATTATATAATTGGATGAGTACAAAGATACTAAACATTGCAAAAAAATGTAATTTAAATTAACAATCTGGCAGTGAACATTTTGTATAAACAATTTATGCACATCCAATTAACTTTAAATTTACATGTTTTACGAGTCAAATGACCAGGAGGTATATCTAGTTACATGAAAAATGCTGGCATTGTATTTTTTTAATCCTGGTACTATGGATTTGGAAAACATTGCATAAAACCATGTCCGGTTGTATAGTAAATCAAGACAAAAATTGGTGACATTCAATAAATAAGAATCTTCCAGGTTGTCTTACTCCTTTAAACTTGTACTACACTCATACGAGTACACTTCAAAATGATCGTTATCCCTGCAATGACCTTTACCCCTGCTGTACATTCACTACGGTCTAAAGTACATACTGTAACATGGTTATTAAAAAGTAAACTGGTTTAAAGCAAACAAAACCCATTTAAACACCTTCATTGGTTTGATATGCAGCAGCTGTGAAATGGAATCCTATTGGCTATTGTTCCATTCCAATTCTGAACCAGCTGTTACGTCTACTGGAAATAGTATTCAATACTATTCAGTTTTAATTCAAAAATTTTTAAATTTTTATAACATGCTGTAATTTCCATACCTGATAGTCCACTGTCGCTTCTTTCTCCGAGACAGAACCCGTGGCGAGGGATTTAAGTTTGTCGCGTGTTTTAGCTTTCTGCCGGTAGCAGAATATTGCGAACACAGCTAGCAAAACTCCAAGAATACATCCAACGAGTATTAGCGTTAGTATGATCAGGGTGGGATTGTGGTTGTCGCTTCTCTCAACTTGCGGTGTGTGGATTTTCGAAGATACCTGAAAAGAACAAGAAGTGGGAGCATATAGTTATAATACAAAGAGTAAAAAAAAATATACCTAAAAACAGATGTCTGACGAAATATTTAAAATTCAACATTCTATGACTTTTAACTTAATCATGCTGAATATATTTTTTATCATATTTTCCAAACATTAATATAAAAACATCTATAATAAATTCATTGATAGGGTCAGAGTTTGCAAAGCATATGGTGTTCCTGGTAATAAATATTAGTATATAGAATGCTATTATTGGATTCAATTAGAGTTTTATAACCTTATGCTTTTAAAAACTACTATAATAGACGAACAATAGTAGACTAATTACAAATTATAATTTAACCTATGTCAAAAACGATGTAAAATATAGTATCTTCTACACTTATAATAAAATTATTTAATCAAAATTTAATTAAAATGACACCATCTTGACAATAAACTGATCATGGGCATAGAGATAAAGACTATTTTGATGACAGTTTATTATTTATTGGCAGCAGACACTAGTAGAAAGGAAACTTTGGTTTGAGAGTGCTGCAGTCCACTAGACAAAGTGGTGCTTCACCTTCTCTTTACATATAAAAGCAGTGTCCAGACTCAAATTTTGTATGATACAGTATGACATGCCTAAATATGGTCATAATGACATCACATAAGGACCATATACAGGCACAGCATGTCTATAAATGGGCATACAATAACATTTTGTCTAAGAAAATTTTATAAATCTGGATAGGACTTCACTTAAGGGCAAATTTTTAGGTTTTCTTCTTGTATTCGTATTAGAAATGTTACAAAATTATTATTTTATTAAGGAGCAGTTCTTGGGTTTATTGCTCTGTATTATCTCATTACTGTTTTAAGATGTAAAACTAAGATTGATTGCTCATTAGCAGAACAAATGCATGTGAATTATGGTGCAATATTATCGATCGTAATTAAAATACTCATTTTTTGAGTTAAAAAATCAGAAAGTTCAGGATTTAACCAATTTACAAATTACAGTCCACCAATACGAAAAACCAGATTTCTTTATATGGAAATTTAAGAACTGATTTCAATTAAATATAAACTAAATCAAAACATACAAATTAATGATTTAACAATGAATGAATGAAAAAATTCTAACTATGCTGTCATGAGATGCTATAGCGCCCTCATTATGTTTCGGTGGATACACGCCGACGGGTAGCCATGATGTTTTTGAACAAATAGTTCTAGTTGAGTTTATATGATTGTTGTTTCTTTCATTTAACCAGCCTACAAATCGAGGTCTCAACACCCAGAGAATATAGCATATGCTCTCATCGCCGCTGTTAAACCTAGAACCTATCTCTACATGTTTTTTAATATGAAACATTCTGAGTCACCATAATTACCATACGGTATCATTAACCATAATCAAACTTTCGGTACACCATTTGTTATAAAATATGGTTCTGTGAAAAAGTATTGGTTTGTGGAATCAACGTTAACGATTAAATTAACATTATTATAATATTACCAAATGTATTACAGCGCAGGCATTTTAGGCATTGTTGCTCAGCGCAAAAAATTAACCACACGCAGCTACCCACAATAATGAATAATGCAGCCAGATGCCAGTCTGAATTCCCAAATGAAAAGGATTATAGTTTTAATTCCTGCGCCTTCATACAAATTAGCAAGTGCACTATGTGTTTGTTGAGAATAGGGCCACAAAGGATTGTTCTTAGGATAAGTACAAAGTAAAGTAACGGTTATTGGGGATCGGTACTAGATGATCCTAATTTAGAAACAAAAGAACATGAGCAGCGAATTTTTGAATGTTGAATTTTATAGTGGTAGATGTTGAAAATTTCAACACTAATACCAATATTTTATTTTGTGCGTGTTATTAATAACGAAAATAACAGGGTAAATGATAAACAAAAATATCATAATTTTTGTTTACCTAGAGCCAATTTCTGGCCGTTCTTCACAAGAGTATCAACAGATATTGGAATTGCTTTATAAAAATCTTCTATTCGAAAAAAAAAAAACTGTACAGAAATTATTTATATAATTTAGAATTAAGCATTAATTTGCGCTCTTGTTCCCAGATTCTTTTGCTAGTGGCAAGTTTCTTTGTCTTCAAAATCAATGCATATTATTCTGTTGTGACTTCTTTGTGTCGTAAATGGTTAGTGAAGACAAGAGGAAAAATGGAGCATGAAGTGCACAATACATCTCATCAAAAATCTCAAGATAACTATTTACTGATATCATGTATGATAAAATCGTGTTTGAGTAAATGCACTGGTAGCGACCATTTTTATGAAATACGATTGTTTCTCGAATGCATGTTACTGCTGTACAATTCTATATGGTTGGTTGTATATAATATTGCACATATTTTTTTCAACAAAATACTCCTACACAATTATTCAAGGAAAAAAACAGATTCTTGTAGATATTCTATCACAAGCTAGTTTCTCACTTAACTTCATTAAACTTTAATTGAAAAATATTATAACAGATCACTGAAATATTTAACTTGTACGAGTCATTATTTAATTAAAAATAAATATAATTATGTTAAATTACTAATTATATTTTAATGAGACTATATATTTTCTAAAATAGTTAAAATATTTAAATTGTACAAGTCAATATTTTAAAGATAAATAAATTTAATAACATTGATAAGACTATAAATAAATTTTCCCTGAAATTTGCAATTTATTTTAAAGTTTAATAAAATAAAAATAATTTATAACATATTAAATAAATTGTTTTTGTACAGTAATTAATTTTGCTATATGGTAATGTTTCAAAATGAAGTTTTGAAAAAAGGAAAGAATGAATGAACGAATGAATGAATGAATGAATGAATTACCAAACTTCTTAATTAACTGGCTAATGCAAAATTGGGTAAAATTTGTCAAATCTGTATTAGCATCTGACATCTGAGCCTTGATTGAATGGTAAAAAGACAAGTTTTAGCTTCTAGGTATACAGAAATAGAATGCTAAGAGGTTGATAGCTGACATTGACAAAGAATAAAAACCTCCTTGAATAACGAACTAAGACGACATTAATGCAGTTAAGAATTACTATCAGAATTATATGCTGTGTACAAATGCTAAATGAGCATAAATCTATATGCTAGAGTACCAAGGTGAAACAGACAAAGAGCGAGTGTTCGTGTGTTCGTGTAATGTTACTCAAGCGATGCTAGCAGACAACCTGTCCAATCGCGAATGATTTTCCAAAATTGAGTTATCAGGAGAATCTTTAGATGAACATATCACTCGCTAACAACTTGCCGAAGGGTCATACGGTAAGGTCGTTCTTTTTCAACCGTCAACGTAAGAACGCTTATAGGTCTCATTCATCAGGCTTGGCATCCGCGTAATCCAAATTCTCATCTTGTACATTACCGTATGCAAAGGTCACAAATGCAGGTCATAATAATTCAATTACGTTCCACAAACAAACTCATGGCCTGGTTTAAAAAAAAAAAGATTTAATTCCTGTATACACTAAAACTACATCAGTGGTAGAATCGTGGGATGTGGATCAACCATAATGTCTGACAGACAACGAGGATCTCTAAATCTGCACGTCCATCTGCAACTTGCAAGTAATCTACTTTTTTTTTGTTAATGTCTTCTGCATAAGAAAATTAATCTTGCTGTAAATATCACACTTTAGTATCCATTTTTGGAATCCACAGACTGTTTAGAAATCTTCAAAAAGGATGCACTTTACAAAATGATAATGATAATAAATGTAGTTTGGAAGTTTTCAGATGTTTTGAATATGGACTATTGTTTTTCAAGATAACTGTCATTATGTGACAAAAAACATTTTTTGAGATGTATTTAGCAGATGGAATGACAGCACAATATTTTTCAATAGAAAATGACAATGGAAGACATTTAAGAAAGACAAAATTGTACATAATAATAATTATATATATATATATACATATATATAATTATATAGTAATATAATTTTATTTTTTTCATCATCTTTATGATTATAATCAAGTAAACACTAAGCCTTTTTTTAATCAACTTTTAATATTGAACATACAAAAAATTAATCATAATTGCAGTCTAATATGTATTGACATTAGGTCTTTTATGATACGGGAAAATATTCACGGAGACTTCCGAGCTATAATTGGTTTTCAAATGTCCTTTTTTTTCATCTTACTGTGGGAAATGCATAATGAGTAAAACGGCTCCTTGATCCATAGATCTTGGCTATAACTTATAAACAAGACTGAACAAAAAATATAACCCTCGCTTGAATGGGCAAAGATGATGTGACTACAGAGGGGGTTCATCCATCTTAGCACCATTAATTGTCTGCGCAAAATGTAATAATAAACGCAGAATCTAAAAATTAAGCATCCGATTCCCAAATGCATCCGTAGTCATATACGGTAATTCAGCATGCCTCACTCTAAATGATTTGCCCATTATAGTCGGATTCACCTCATTCTTGGCCCATATAATTGTGACCACTCATTTCCCCGGGGTAAGAATATAATACTGCTAATTATCTACATGGAAAAAAATGGAATTAAAAATGCACTTACTGGGGGGAATATGACCAGGTAAATTAAGTGTTAGTATTAATTCTGTATATATGTGCTTAAAAAAAAAGCAAACCATAATATTGTTAATGATATATGTAGAAAAATAATCTAAAAATAACCAATAGCAGGTTTAGGTTGAGGTTCACAATTGCTGCAATTTGAGAAGTCATTTTAAGTGAACTATGTTTCAGGGTGTTTAGAGTTCCTGATGATGATGATGATGATGATGACCATGATTAGTTTATTCTAAATACTAACTGAATTTAAATATTATAAAACAAGTAGATATTCAAAATTAAATATATTTTAAATATAGAAAATATAGAACTATTATTATTATTTATTATTTATTTATTTTGTTGTTTGTTATTTTGCATTTTTTTATCCTTTTACCTTTGTCATCGTCTCACTTTTAGGTAATTGGTTGATTTGTACATATATTCTTTATTAATTCCTGCTTTTAATCCTTTAGGTTTTAGGTAGTTTTAAGTAATGTGTTTACATATTATATAAATTGTAAATTCAATTTAATTTGTTATTTAATTGTAAATTAAATTATAAATTCAGCAATTTTGCTGCTATTAGAGAAGTTTACTAAAATGAATTTGAATTTTAGAAATTCACCATATTTCTAAAATGAAACCTCAGAAAATTGTAATTTGTTTTTATACCGAGCAAACCAAAGCTAAGCTGCTCGTTTGAAGCAAATGTGATTCGGTAATTCAATTCTGCTTGCTTGTATGCGATATTCAGAATTACGTATTACATAGTATTCTATATGCAAATGAGGGCTGGAGAATTCCCGTGGCAATGCCAGAAAGCTTCATAAAATCTGGCAGGCTAAATTACCGTAGAGTTTGAATCGGCTAAGCAGTGGATCAAACTAGGTTAATTTGTTTAAAAATGCATACTAACAAACTAATCATTTTACAATAAGCATTGATTGGGCAACAAATATGATTAACTATGATAATTACTGATTAGATTTTTTTACCAATGTCTGATAAGAAACTGTCAGTTCTTATGATTAGAATAATTGTTGTGATGGGGAGAGATGGACAGTGAGAATACGATGCCGGTATTAGAGAAAGAAAATTCCAGATTAGAAGGGGGTCCCAGTTGTAAAGGCGCTTATTGAATGAGTGAAAACCAATTATGTATTATAGTACAGATGACCTATTTCTAATATTCTTATAAAGCATTTGACACTGTGTTCCATAACTACTGACATAAGTAATTATTGATATATACTGCTTCAATTATTTATAAAGTAATCAGTATTATGAATATTATTATGCTATAGTAATTTGTATTCATTAAAAAAATAATAATCTTTTTTCATTATTTCTGGTTTGGAAAAAATATTAAACATCTTATTGGTATTAATATTAATATGTTTGGTAACGTAGATATGATATAGCTAAAAGAGGATGTTCAGTTCATATGAAAATGTTAAATGAAGTGACTATAGGAAACAGTATCATACAGGACCCAGAACAAACAGGTTGTGGAAGAGTACATGAAACAAAAGAGCATATATGAAGAACATACAGAGACCAAACATATACAAATGAATAATGAACATAGGCCATGGCTCAGGCAACAAAAGGAAGGAAACAACACAAGCAGCAGAAGGAACAATCCAACTAATACGGTAGCATACAAACACAGACAAGACACAAAAGAACTTATTATAGGCAACAAAAGTGCAACATACTCAACAGTATAGATAGGCAATAGAAAAACCACACAAAGAACTGATAAAGCCTATAGTAGAGTCATTAGAACATTGTAGAAATACATGTATTAACAAAATGACAATGGCTATGTAAATGATAAAACTGACTCAGTTTAAATTGAAAAGAACAGTATTATAATTTTGATGAAACTAACTATGAATATATGAACTAAAAAATGTATCAACATAAATACCAAATCTGATTTATTTTTTTAATCTCTTGAGGACAGACAAGATTCTTAGAAGAGAACGGCATAGACGTATGATGTTTGGTTCGATCTTAAATGCTCAACAAGAAGCCTATAATAAAGGTCTGAAGCCCTACATAGGAAGTTTTGGAATCGTTAGTGTGTCCCAGGAGGTTCATCATGCGGCAATTTAAGCTGAAGGCGAAAAGCATTTACTGAGTGACAGTAGAATTCCACGCAGCAAACAGCGCTAAGTTAATGCGGAAGCCATTTTCCAAGTACATTACAGCGTCATTTGCTAATTCAAGTTTAACTTTAGCCATTATCGGGACCAGAGGTCAGTGTTAATGACCAACTAGCAAATACCATTGTCTTGCTGCTTTGACTTAAAAGCATTAACGAAAAAAATATTCTTGAATAAAATATCCGACAACTAAACCTACAAAATGGCAGCTTGTGGTCTAAATTTTGCCAACGAGCAACTTTAATCCGAGTGGTTTCAGCCTTTCAACTGTATCTAGCACTGCCTAGTTTATCATGCTTAAGTTAAACACAATTCATTTCAAACTGAGATAACAGTTCTTCATTCATCATTGATAATAATCAACAAAAAAGAAGAATTATTTTTAGCATCATCTGAAAGTTCCAATTATGGTAACCTAGAGGTGCCATGAATCAAAGAAACATAAACTCAGCCCATACTACTGAGGGGCTCGAGCGGCCTGAATCTATCAGCCAATACCAATATGGCCTCATCCAAAATAAATTTAGGGCACCTGGCTTATATAAATAAATATAATACTAAATTAATAAATACTGCTCGGAGTGATGAACAGATAATTTATATAATACTCTAAAATGACGAAGTGTGACAAAGGTAATATTGGCAGTAATAATAATTATAATACTCTGACAAATGACATATCTGAAGATTAAACCAACTTCTTTGAAAATCAAAAACGAAAACTGAGATGCATCGCTCGAGGCAATTTAACGTATTAAACAAAATCTCAAAACCTATAATAATCATCAAGACAATCATAAAAATCTTTTTGCAAAATGAAAATTGTGAAGTAAAAAATGAAATACTTGGTTTTGAGTTTAATATGGAGCCTATAAAGTTGAGTGTTGGATGTTCGATGATATGACTAATGTTTAGAAAGGTATGATAATCTATGAAATGTATGCTTCTCCAACGACAATAATCATTAAGACAACAAGAGACTAAAGGATATACCAATTAGATGGTTAATAAATATAGTTTGTAATAACATATGAAATGTTAAAATTGTTCGAAATGACATTTGAAAAGTATGCCATTGAATAGGACAGTACTTCCAAAATAATTTTTTTATAAGAAAATCTTGATGAACAACTGAATTGAACTGAACAGAAGCATTGTAGTACAGGAGAATACCTTTGTCCCAACCTTTGTTTTCAGGAAGCGAGGCTCTCTGACAAACAGGTGAAATGTCATGCATTTCAATTAAAATATCAATATGCTAATTTACATCTTATTTGCATATTGTATTGTTAAGGGTAGGGATATCATCTATTACTGATTTAGAGTTTAAACCAAATATAGAAACAGGATATGATAATGTTTGGAATCTGAATTAATAGGAAAGAAAGATAAATTGACAAAAAAATGTTATAATTCCATGATATAAGACACCTACAAATTCAATGAACATGAAGAAGAAAAAAAAATCATTTTTACGGAAATTTACATAAGATTTATTAGCTCCAAATTAATTTATATATATATATATATATATATATATATATATATATATAAATCATAACTTAATGCATTCAGGTTCAGGACTGGTGACTAAATGAATAAAATAAACATTGTTAGCATCTACCACCACCATATTCTTACTTCAAAATACTAATCTATTTTAATGAAAACATAAATCAAGATATTGCCATCGGGAAAATAATTCCCATTTGTGGATTCATTAACAAAGATTTGAATATTCATGAGACCCAACTCATACAAATCTACCAGGTAAAGGAACAAATGAAAATATACAGTAAGTCAAAGTAATGAAATGAAAAATCATTAATCAAGTTCTTAGATAGAGGGCATGAAACAATGAATTAAAGACTCTTTAATCAATAAATATCTTTCTTAGCGAAGAACTGGGACATCTATCAGCCAATAGGAGAGCTGAAAAAATGCATTACCTTATCGGATATTTGGTCAGTAACAAAAGCATATGATGGACAAATCTCACAGAATTTGAGTGATTCCGCACAACCAATGAATTTTACAGGATCACATTGAAAACTGATTTAACATTTTGATTAAAATATTACTTGAATGAAGATTGAAAAGAATAATTAAGCAATGTGTCACTGAGGCATTCAACCACACAATGGCCTGTGTCAAACAACTACCAAATGAACTGCAAGCACCAAACAAAGGCTAACAGTTGTAGTTTAGCCAATCAGAAAAACGGTTACTGTTTCCCTAATTAGTATTATAATCAGTGCAATCACCATTATTAACCCCTGAAATCATCCGTCACATTATAGTTGTTAATTCACAAAAAAAAAAATGTAATCAAATAAACACAAATTGTCAAAGATTGACAGTACTGCCCCATTAGACATAATTATTGAAGGTATTGAAGAGTTGAATGAATACTTAAGTGCGAAAAAAAAAAAAGTCATATAACTTAATAACTCAATTATATATTCAGTATAACGAAGAGCGGTTTTGATGCTTAATGAAATTATAGCTTTAGTATTAAAACATAACATCAAGTCAACATTTTGAAAGTGACACATTAAACAACCTTATTATAAAGCAGAATAAATAGAATTACCTCTAATCTGTTCCTATAGTACAACCAACAATCACAAAGCTGATTTGTATAAAAAGAAACTCCTAAGAATCACAAAATCTGAACAGACATGAACAAAGAATCTCAACAAATTTAACACTCACTGAAAAAATTGACCTATCTATTTAAAAAAAAAAAAAAATCTATGAACTTGGATAGCATCAGGCTCTACCCTCTAGCTCCCTACCATGAAGACAACTCCATTCTTGCACCTACCTATGTATCCGTGAGAGGCCCACATGAAATTCTGCTTCCATCCTTCTCCGTGTCTGACAATTACTATAATCAACCTACAACTGGCCTCACTTCTAGCAAAAGCCTACAATGTGAATGAATTAATTATGCAGATGGTACGCATCCTCCCATTGGTTGATTTCCATTCATTACCATAGCAACTTGCTAGCAGATGTTACAGATTGTACCTTTTGTTCATAAAAAAAGTTTTGTGCAATCACAGGCTGTAGCAAAGGCTGTGCTTTGTGTCGACCAATCAGATCGCTCAAACACAAGCCTGATAGCTTTTAATAAATAACCAAGAACAAATTAATATATTTGCCACATGTGGCATTTGCTATTCTACGTTTTAAGCTGTGCTAGTCTTTGTCCTGCAACACTTTTCTACATGCTTGGATATTAGGATTGACACAGAGGACCTTAAGCAAAATCACAAGAAACACTATCTTAAATTAACCCTAAAGCATGTCCAGCCTTGCAATCATAGAATACTTAACCCAATGTAAAATATATATAAGGAAAAAACAATTAGGTATATCAGAATCAAATTATTCTTATATCCAAATTTAATTATCCAAGATGTGTATAAGAGACAGGTACTTCCAAAATAATTTTTTTATAAGAAAATCTTGATGAACAACTGAATTGAACTGAACAGAAGCATTGTAGTACAGGAGAATACCTTTGTCCCAACCTTTGTTTTCAGGAAGCGAGGCTCTCTGACAAACAGGTGAAATGTCATGCATTTCAATTAAAATATAAGCTAGAACAAACCTGAATAAATAACCATAAAAATGTAAATAAAACTAACAATAATGACTAACATGACTAACAATAATTTTAATAATTATCAGCATCAGATTGGATTAGATTTCTTCAGTGAAAAACACACCAAGGTGAACTACAGACACTGTAAGTGGGTACTTCAAGTGGGTTCCCTTCTGGGTGTAAATTAGTAGGCATAGAGCAGGAGACAATCCCTGCTTATTTTTTTTCAAAGAGTGTACTGCATTCTGTAATTGGCCAAATGTAAGCCGCAAATATATGTCCATTTAACTGTTTTGCTCAAAAAGATTTACATCAAAATTGTCATTAAAAATAAAATTTCTTTCATATAGAAAATAAATATAAACCTAAAACTAACTTAAAAAAAAAATTTGATCCACCCAATTATGCCACAGTTAAGGATTGAATATCTCATTTTATGTATTATGAATTTTATTTGATTTTATAATTTGTATTAAACGAACCACAACTGTACTGGTTACATCCATGTTTACTTTCCACAACAAACGATGCAATGCTCTCAACATATTCATCCATTAGTGCATGTGTCATTGCACAATTCTTGTAAGCCATAAAACAATGGATTGTGGGTAACTAATTGCTAGTCGCGTTGTGCTGACATGCACTCATTTTACTTCAATTATTTGATCATCAGAATACAGAAATAGATAATACACAACGAAATATAGTAAAAAATAAATGAAGGTTCAGAGATTGTTACTTTAGCTGCGCCAGCTCTTATCCCAACAGATGTTAGTTAAATGGTTGGAGATAATCTATCCTATAAAAATTTGTGGAAAAGCTGTTGTTCTGAAAATCATAATATATATATATATATATATATATATATTTTTTTTTTTTTTTTGACTTGTTGAAAAGTAAAGCTGTGTTAGGCTTCTGAATTATTATAAATAAAAAAATAAAAATAATAACAGTAAATACCAACAACAGACAAAGAACATTACCGTAATAATCGTCAAATAACTTCATTTAACTTTTAGTGTAGTAAGATAATATCGAATCACCCTTATTATTGGCTTAACATGAATGAAATTTGATATTACCTTAGTAATAATCGTCACTGTGAATGATACTACAATAACACTCAAAAGCTCAAAACGTAAGTTATTTTAACATTAATAATAATCAGGGGCGGATCCAGAGATGTCCAAAATTGGGGACCGAAAAGGGGGGGAAGCGAAATTTGGGCCGATCGAGATAACAATGCCCCCGCGAAATTTTTGTGTTCTAGACGCCCGAAAATAACATTTGAGGCGTTGTGGGCTATCATTTTTTCTTTTTCTTTGTTTTTTTCTCTTTTTTTCCCCTTTTTTTACCTCCCAAAAGGGGGGGGCCCCTGATAATATGATAGTAATCAAAAGTATAAAAACAATAGTCATATTAATAGTAATCAGAAACAACGAAGATGATAGCAGGGATGACAATGATGACAAAATTAATGACAGTAGCAGTTTACACCTTTTTGGCAGGTATAGAGGCAGAAACCTTTAAGATTCTAATAAATTTTTCTATATAACAATTTTGAATTGTGGAGAGCATGTACCACTCCCCCCTTTTCTTACCCTCATTGCAGAACTGACAACAATTAAGAAAAGAAATCATTAGTATTCATCCCATTTATGGCATTCAAGCTAAACTTTAGATTATATATCAATCAGTACAAAATATATATTTTTGGAAACATGGGCCTATACACTATAATATTAAATTTTAAGTACATAAAAACTAAAACCAGAAACCAAATAACAATGTTGAAAAAAGTGAATCAAACTGTTGAATTACACTACAGGTCATCGGAGTTGCATCAATACGATTTTAAACATTACAAAAATAAAGGATTATTAGTGATAAATTATTCCTGTGTAAATAGATAATAAATTTTGACTTGTTTTCATAGTTCAAGATTTATAGTACAAGCCTTCTCACATCTTCACTATTGCCATGATCTGATGAATTGATGATCAGTCAATCAATCTTTCAATCATTTAATCAATAAATCAATAATTTTATTAATCTATCAATCTTTCCTCCGCTCGATCATGCACCAAAATCATTTGTTCAATTACTTATTTATATAAAATAAATCCTTGCCAATCTATCAGGGCTCATAGGTCTTGAACTTATCCCCAGTTTCTGTAGTGGATGAGAGTGTGACCCCTCCCCTGAGTGGAATGCTGGTCCACCTCAGGTTACTTCCAGCAACATGCTGGTACCATTGACACAGGTGGGTAGACTCAAGTTAAGCAGATAAAGCGCTTTGCTCCAGAACACAAGAGAAATGCACAGCAAGGATTGAAACCCCAACCTCCATGTTGGGAAAACAAACCATTCCCCACTGCGCCAAACCGCTTCCACACTAAAGTATTTATTTAACTACAATATGTAATAAAAAAAACCAATGTACGATGGCCCTTAAATATACTGTATGTTAAAAAAGGAATTAACAATAAAAGCTTTAAAATGGCTAAAACAGTTAACTGACTACGAAAATCATAGCTAAAGTATAGAAAAAATAGAGGGCATAGGAAAATTAAATGTACCAGCATTAATATTGAAATTCATTATAAAAATCACAGTAAAATATTAGAAGACATATTGTACAGGCTTTAAACCATTATGATAAGCACTAATGGCATTTACTAAAATTATCATTTGAAAAAAAAAGGAAAGATATTATCATAAAATTTAAATTTGACTAGGATAGCCTAATAAAATATAGCATAAATGTTAATTATTACGAAAACAGAAAGAACCCATAAAACCAAGGTAGACAATTGTTATTGACCCTGTCAAATATTTGTCAATGAATTTACTACTAGAGTATACTCTATCATCATAATATCAAAATTAACACTCGGAAACATTGAAACTACAAATTAATTATGTAAATAAAAATGCATTAAATAATTTAAGATAGTGTATTAGAAATGCTGGTAATTAATATAATATGTTATTATATAATTACCTATCTAGGGATACAATCATTGACAGATATCATTTACGCATGCATATTGAGAGTAATATTATTATTGCTGAAATCACTTCTCGACGGAGAATTTATCAACATCATTAGTAACTTCCTACTCTGAAGTCATTTTTTCCATGCAATTAAACAGCCCCGCAGTATTGAAAGCAACCAATCAATACCAATCAATAGCCCTGCAATATGTACATTGTTACCTGGTGTGCCGCAATCACAAAACATTTAATTAGTCCCGTCTTCATTAACGTACTCATCACATTTTCATTGACAAAAGCAAATGAGACAACAATGGGGTGTAACAGGGTAAGCTCTGTTACACACAGGTGATGCCATAAACTGTTAGTCAATTAAAAGAATTTCTGTATTTTAAATTTAAAAAGAAAATGGGTAAAGGGATTTTAAAGTCAATTAGGAAACATAAAGAGTTTTAATAGCGAGAGTGCTATACTATAATATAGGATTGTTCTAGTAGGGTGTACCGTATGCAGAAGTCTAAGGCTTGGTTGTATTGTTTTTGTTTTGTATTATCCGTGTATGGCAATACTTTCAATGTCATATACATTTTAATATTATTAATAATAAATTTTATCTTATATATGCCCTAAAAAAAATCTGCTTAAGAAATAATATCTAAAAATGAATTTTAAATATACAAAATAAAGGTGGTGTGCAAGCAAATACTAAACATAATTATGATTAACTATTTATTAAATTCAATCAGTAAAATTTGCATGAAAGCCAACATAACTTATTTTCAGTAGGATTCTAAAATGATGCTATAGAAAACACATAAACTAAAAAAAAAATAATAATAAACAGACATAGAAAATCATTATTAATGAAATCAGCTACAGAATACAAACATTCAAAGAAAACAAATTAAAATTTAACATATGACTCCT